TGGCAAACCAGAACTTATCAACAATGCGTTCATCATCTCCTTTAATGAACGATTCTTTCTTTCCGCAATCACATTGGATTGGGACGTGTAAGGGGACGTTGTTTGATGAATAATTCCATATTCTAAACTCATTTCTTAAAAAGGAGATTCATATTCACCACCCCTATCACTTCTTATCATTTTGATTTTCTTGTTAAGTTGTGTTTCAACTTCATTTTTGTATTGCCTGAATGCGTCTATTGCTTCATCTTTACTATTAAGTAAGTAAACATAGCAATATCGAGTACTGTCGTCAATAAAAGTTTGGAAATACTTCTTTCCACCGCGAGATGGAATTGACTTCATGTCGCAAATATCTGTGTAAATTAAGTCTAAAGGATTTGAATTCCTTTCAACTGACTTATAAGGATGTTTAACATACTTAGATTCCACACATATTTGATATTTTGATTTGTCGCATTCAAACATAGGCAATACTTCCAAATTAATTATTTTTCGCAAGGTTTTATAATTGACATGACCCAAACGTATATGCCATAATTCATTTGATTCAAGTAAGTAAGAAGAAGCTGAAATTTTATTATTACTCTCTATTATTCGGATACAAAAACACACATAAATCCGTTCTTAACAAGAAGTCCAGCAAAGACTAAGTTCTTTCTAATCTCTGGAACATGAAGGACGTTGTTCAAAGTCACCACCTTACCAGAAGTCATTTTCAGAAATATCTTTCCACATCCTTCAATTTTGGCTGTTGTAGAATTTCCCAAAGAAAGCGTGTCTTCGGGTCCAACAGGAGCATATATAGCAAATACTTCTCTAACAGCACAAACATGGCGAGTGGCTCCAGAATCAATCCACCACTCCTTAGGATTTCCCACCAGGTTGCATTCAGAAAGCATAGCACACAAGTCATCAACATCTTCGTGATTTTCAACCATGTTTGCTTGACCCTTCTTCTTGTCTTTCTTTGGAGCACGATAATCTGCAGATCTGTGTCCAGCTTTTCCACAGTTGTAGCAATTTCCGTTGAACCACTTCTTGCTTGGGTTGCGTTTAGGTCCAGAAGCCTTCTTCCTCCTTCTATTATTTTGAGGAGTATCTTCAACAATATTTGCTCCCATTATTGTTGAGATTCCACGGCCTTTCTTTTCAGCAGCTTTGTTGTCCTCTTCGATTTTCAACCGAACAATGAGATCTTCAAGGTGCATCCCCTTGCGTTTGTGTTTCAAGTAGTTTTTGAAGTTCTTCCACAAAGGAGACAACTTCTCAATCATCGCTGTAACTTGGAATGCTTCATTGATGACAAGACCTTTAGTGAAAATTCTGTTAGTAAAAATAATATAATTAATACTTTTAGTATTAATTTGACTTATACCTTCAGCAAGGAGATCGTGAATAATCACATGCAATTCCTGGACTTGGATAATAATAGACTTGCTATCTGCCATTTTGTAGTTCATAAATTTAGTTGCAACATATTTCTTTAACCCGACATCTTCCATTTTGTATTTCCTTTCAAGCGCTATCCACAGTTGTTTTGACGTCTCCACATTACTATAGACGTTATACAGATCGTCCTCCAGTCCGTTAAGAATGTAATTCTTGCATAGAAAATCAGAATGCTTCCACGCCTCAGTCACGAGAAAGCGTTCATTTTCTGGAGTTTCGTCGGGCAGAACAGGAACATCTTCCTTAATGAACTTCTGCAGACTTAAAGTCGTCAAGTAGAAGAACATCTTCTGCTGCCATCGCTTGAAATCAATCTCGGATCATTTTTTGGGTTTTTCTGCCGGTGCCAATGCCGGTGTTGTTTGGCTTGTCGATGCATTGGCAGTCACCATAGGAACAGTCCGGTTCCCGTTGTCATTCGTCATTTCTGTAAAAGAATGACACAAACAAACATTAAAATTATGTAGATGTTTTTCTCCAATGGAGTAGAAACCACAAATGTTTTAGTCTCCAGAACAATGAGTATAATACAAATATAGAAAATTTAAAACTCCTTAAGCTTGATAGTAAGCTGTATTTGTAAAATAATTCTGGAGAAGATAAAAAATAACATATAATCAGAAATGTAAAAGAAACAGAATTTAATCCGAGCCCATTGAATTCACAGTGTTTCCTTAAGGAATTTAATCCCCTCCTAGTACCAAAGGTTGTGGATTATTTTCTCCCAGGATAGAACGAATTGCACACTGCTTTAGCGATACTTCAAACCCCAGTATTTCAGCGAACACAAAGATCGGTAGCAAATCACACTTACTGTTGTTTTGTTTGTAGTTAAAACAATGCAGAAGAAAGGAGGAGAACTCAGAAATTCGTATTAATAATCTGAGAGAATGGACTGGTATTTATAGCCAATGTTGAGCTTAAACTGAAGAGGTGCGACTCTTCAAAACTGAAGAGGTGCAACTCTTCAGAAGGGATGTTTGTTTAAAACGACCATAACGTAAATGGCTTTTACCAAAACTGAAGGGAATATAATATTTCGTTGGATGTAATATTAATTTTCCATTTACAAGAAAAACGGATATTTAATAACATTTATGTTAATATTTACTATTAACAAATAAATTTGATCCAAAAAATTAATCAATCAATCATTTAACCAAATCCAAAACCAAATCTGAATCTGAATCCGAAGACAAAGCCGAGCCGAGCGAGCAACGACGACGACGGCGCGAGGCTTGCCTTCTTCTTAACTCTTTAAGAGCTAGAAGAAGAGCAATTGTATATATACCTATCAAAATCTTTTTCTCTTCCAATATGGGATAATGTCCCTTTGTCAAGGATGGAAACTCAAATATTTTCAATTTCCCTCCATTTCCCATTCACCCTCTTTTAAGCTACATTTAAGCTTAAAAATCCAACAATCCCCCACATGAATGGGGAATGGCTATATCACAGAAATATGCATGAAATATTGTGTGATTCGCAAGCAGGGATTAATTGCATATGGATAAGTAGGTTTTCCTTTGAACTTTCCATAGTGAACTTATGTCGGATATACTCGGTCAATCGGTAGATTTGATATCTTTGAACCGTCGAACTTTGGTGTATATCTAGACAACCATAAGTCACACAACCAACCCTTAACTATCTTTGGCTCTCATTGTTGTGTTCGTTTCAACCATGAACACTGCCTGGATTCATAAGTGCGTAGAGAACCGGCCTTACAAAATTCTCCTTGAAGCGGCGAACACTTCACACTTACATAGGTGATTCCTAAATGTGTCATCCCGTAGAGACACTATTTGATATACCCCGTATACAAATTAGAAATCATTAAAAAGCCTTAATACTTTATCCTTGGTACTGAACATTGTCTCATCACGAGAATGGACCAAACGTTTAGTTGACTATGTTGAACCGTCATTAATGACTTTGTTTGATCTCCTTGAACCTAGATCTAGGGATCTCCAGTCTTCTAGGTAGAGTTACCGCCACAATGGCCTGTTCTCGGCCATAGTCCCATTCCCCTCGATGATTTCTCAACTACATCTCTAGTTAGGCCTTTTGTAAGTGGATCCGACACATTATCGCTTGACTTTACATAGTCAATAGTGATAATTCCTCTAGAGAGTAATTGCCTAACGATTTTATGTCTTCATCGTATATGACGAGATTTACCGTTATACATCACGCTCCCAGCGCTTCCTATTGTCGCTTGACTATCGCAATGTATGCTTATTGGTGCCAACGGTTTGGGCCAAAATGGAATGTCTTCCAAGAAATTCCCGAGCCATTCAGTTTCTTCCCTGGCTTTATCTAAGGCTATGAACTCAGCCTCCATTGTAAAGTGGGCAATACAAGTTTGCTTGGACGACTTCCAAGATACCGTTCCTTCACCAATAGTGAATACATATCAACTTGTGGACTTAGAATCAGTTGAACCGGTGATCCAATTTGCATCATAGTATCCCTCAATCACCGCAGGG